TACCGAAACCTAAACAAATTTTTATATCACATTCTCTACACTTGACAAAGTATTCTGATTATCGCCGCCTACTGTCACTGGGGGTTTAGTGGAGGTTTAAGTATTATAGGAATATAGGAAATATTGTTTTATACCTAACAGCTCATTTATTTTTTATTTATTGATAGTTATAGATAATATATATTCGAAATAATTGTAATTGGACCCTACATCCTTGTTGTTTATTTAAAAAAAAATATTAATTTATAACAGAAACTGAACATATGAACATGATTCGATTCTTAACTCATATTCACATTGTACAGAACTTACCTTGACATTACTTTTTGAAAGGCTTCTTTTTTTTATGCTATACAATACTTGATCAACGATAACATCTTTTTTAAATGACGCAACTCACAAAAAGAATGATTCCAATTTGTTAATCTAAACTTAATTTTAAAAAATTATTAATTTTGTATCTATGATTTTATTATAAATATTTTTTGAATCATTGTCATAAACATCATATTCACAAATAAACCTTATCGAAAAACAAGAATAAACATTCAACATCACTGAAAAATAGGTAAATCCTTAAATCACTTTATAAACACTGAAAATAGCGTTTATATACAGGGTGAGTCGGGAGGAGCGCACCAAACTCTAGGGTATATTATACACGTGAAAATAATGTAAAAAACTCATGTTCTTATCCGATTTTCATTTGTTTTCAAGTTATAGCATATTAACAAATAAACAAATTTACACATAAAAATTCTCTTAATCATAGCGTTCTTTCAATAAATGTTCAAAAATACCGCCATTGACTTCTAAACAATTTCTGCTTCGTCTACTAAGAGCGTTTGTTGCTCTCCTAATTGATTCATTTCTTTCTTCTTTAATATGGGCTGCAGTATTCTCAATTCGTGTAATTAGTGCATCCCGTGTGTCCACTTTTATTTTGTAGACTTCAATTTTCATCCAGCCCCATAAACAAAACTCTAATAGTGTGAGGTCTGGAGATCTTGCAGGCCAATTAATATGACCTCCACGACCAATCCAACGCCCTGGAAAACGTTCGTCCAAATGTTGCTTGACCTGACGAGCGACATGTGCAGGAGCTCCATCGTGCTGATAGTACATCTGCATTCTAATATTTACAGGAACATCCTCTAGCAGGCCTTTTAATTCATTTTGTAAAAAATTCAGGTAGTTGTCTCCTGTGAGGCGATTCTCCAAAATGAAAGGGCCAATTAAATAACTGTCAACCATACCACACCACACGTTTACAGAAAACCGATGTTGAAAATTGCTTTCGACTGTTGCGTGGGGATTTTTGTCTGACCATACATGATTGATAGTTACGAGTATTATTAATGCCATCACGGGTAAATGTAGCTTCATCCGTAAAGAGTATACTCGATACAACACGATGATTATTATTTATCCACCGACAAAACTCCATACGGTTAGCGTAATGCTGTGGTTGTAGGTGCTGTACTCTCTGTACGTGATAAGAATATAAGCCTTGCTCGTGGAGTGTGTTTATCACTCTTTTTTGTGGAATTCCCAATTGAGTGGCAATTCTCCGTGAGCTAGTAGTTGCATCTTCTTCTACTAGATGCAGAATATTTTCTACTTCTACAAAACCTTGTCGCGTAGCGCGTTCAGATGTTATAAAAGCACTGGGAAGCTTACCAGTCTCGCACAATTTGTTGAAAACTCTAATAAATACGTTTTTATCGGGATGTCTTCGGTGTGGAAAACGTTGACGATATTTTTCAGCAGCAGCTGTAGCATTTCCATTACAGAAACCATAAACAAACACCATATTTGCATATTCTAAATTTGAATAAGTATCTGGCATTTTGCAACACTAACAATCACATAAATTTGAAATTAAACGTTCAGTTACTGTTCACTGTACACTGACAGTTCATTAAAACGTCAGAATTATCAAATGCCTTTGAGCCTTGAACATATGGCATACTTTGATAATGTTAAAATTCAGAAGTGGAAAGCTAGATGAACATTTTTAATTACGCCATAACTTGAAAACAAATGAAAATCGGATAAGAACATATGAGTTTTTTACATTATTTTCATGTGTATAATATACTCCTAGAGTTTGGTGCGCTCCTTCCGACTCACCCTGTATATTATATATACACAGTTTTAGCTGGTGTGGAACATATTTCTTTTGCAAAACATCCAGAAAAAAGTTTTAGCAATTCTGCATGGTTCTTACATTTCTAATTATTGTGTAAATTGCCCGTAAATTGCTCATACATTTTATTGTATCAGTACATTTAATGTTATAATTTTCCATAAGGGTTAGTATTTTTGTGTTTTCTGTATTTAGGGACAAATAGTTGTCGTCGCACTATGCTTTGATTTTCTTAATTTCACCAGATACGGTGTTATAAAGAAGGCAGGGGTCTTTTCTGTGCCCTAAAATCGAAGTGTCATCAGCAAATAGAGTGAAAGTATTTGCAATGTATAGTTGAACTAAGTCATTTATACAAAGAAGTAATAAAATGAGACTCAACATAGAACCCTGAGAGCCTTTCTAACTTATATCTACTACTAAGTAACTATTATCATTTGCAGTGGCGGCTCGTGGGGTGGTTCACAGTGACAGAATATAGGTATCAGTACCGATGTATCTATATCTTTATAAAAATAAAAAAACAGATGTATGAAAAAACTTTCAGTGTTTTAGAAAGTTTATAATACACCTTTCTAAAATACTGACAGTTTTTTACCTATATCTGTACCGGGATCTATATTCTGCTACTGTGAACCCCCAAAATTTTGGTCACGAGCCACCCCTGATCATTTGCTTACGTTCTTAAAGATAAGTTTGTATCAGCGCTTCTTGTTCGATTCAGTGCACTCAAAATTTATGTTCTGAAAGATAAGATGTTATCAGCGCTTCGTGTTCGATTCCGTGAACTCAACATTTTTGCAACAGTACTGTGTGATTGACAGAATCAAACGCCTTAGTTAAATCACAGAATATCTCTGCTATAGCTTCGTTGAAATGTTTTAGATAAAACATGTTAAAGATAAGAAAATATCGTAATTAATAACAGGTGGGCGGGGGAGGCAATCCAGTCCTGATAATTGATAAAGGGAACCAATAATGCAGATGAGTAATTTTCGGTGGATTTTCGCTTCAAACTTCGTAATGCGTTGTATTGCCGCTAAACATTGCAGAGCTGTGCCATTTTCAATTAGGTCGGCAGAATCGCGTCGCGTTTCACTGTAAAATAAACTGAAACATTAAACTTGAATTATTATTTCAGTGGTCGGTGACTAACTGGTTCTAGTAAAAGCTTTTCTTCGTGGCCACTTCTGAATGTAGTTCTCCCGAAACCACCATATAACAAAAAAAAACATTCTCGCTTTTGAGATTGAAATAAAATTCTGAAACACTTGCCTCATATGTATTTTACACGAATTTCATTCTTACTCTAGAGACATAATGTCCATTATGTAATAGCTACTGGCCAATGGCGTGAATACCACGCTCGCATCGTAGATAGTCATGAATTTCATTACTAACAGTTCTACGCAACGTATTAATATTTAGTATGGATTTGCCCAAATAAAGTTAAGCGGTGTTTGTTAAGTCGAACTTGACATAAGTTAGATTAAATATTTAATTTTGTTCAAAGTTTCATTTTACTATATACAAGTCCTACTGTGTCTGTGACCGTGGATAAAGTACAGTTTCTTATGTTGGAATAAAAATCCGATACTCGTGGTTCTTTACAATCTTCCACTCGTACCGAAAACCTTTTTACAGTATATATACTACTAAAATACAAAAATAGATATTTTAATGTGATAATCTAAACTTATCTTTAAAACAATGATGATTTAATATTTTTCCCATAAGAAACTAAATATTGTTGAACTTGAAATTGATAAAATCATATATCTACTCACACAAAAAGAGATTCTAATTTGATAATCTAAACTTATCTTAAAAAAATAATAATTTGGTGTCTAACATTTAATATTTTTCCTAAAATTAGACATTTTCGAAATTGAATTTGATAAAATCATTTATTTTCGTCAGAAAATAATTTTTGTTCCTAATTTAAAACGTAATCTTTAAAATATGATAACTATTTCAAAGCAAATATTTTGTTTTCAATTTGAGTGTTTAGCTTGTTATACCAAAAAAATTGATTTAAAGAAAAAATTATTGAAAGTGCTTAATTTCCAATGAAAAAAATGTGTTGCTAAAATCGGAAAATACGAACAACATTAGGCAAGAGCCAGAAGTTTTATTTATTGAAGATTAAACCTTACTACCTATTTTTAAGTAAAATACAGTACGACAAGATTGAGATGGTAAGTCTAAAAATGGGAGGAGTTATCTTAGTTAATGGCTGAACTATTATGTCAGAGCTTTAGTGATCCATTTGTGCAATGTTACCAAATTTATCTATTTTAATTTTAATTCAGACTCATTGTCATAAACATGAACCATATTTACAAATAGAGTTTTTTAAAAAACAAGAATAAACGCACAAAATCACTGAATATGTGTGACTTATCCATAAGTTACTAAACTTACAGTTAACTGTAAAATAAGTTTAAGAATATTTGTCAAAAGATTTGTCAATGTTTCACCTATGGCAATGTTAGACCAGTTGACCTTATACCTACTAAAAAAAAATTATAGAAGTATTTGGTGTTTGTAATTCCTACGCACCTTGATCTTGATATATACCTCAAACACCTGTCGTCCTTCGATAAATTGATAACCTTTATTTTTGTGGCACTCTTAGGGAAAGAAAAAGATTAAACTCACCCCACTTTGTAACAAACTCGTAAATAAGGTTTTCAGTTGCCAAATTTATTTGTTTTTTGTTCGTACTATATTTTTGTATATTAAATCTTTTATACTTTTAACAAATTTTGTCATCGTATCAGTGTATAATTTATAACAAAACTCATGTACTTATTATATTTTTTTCTAAACAATTTTTTATTTGTTACAGGTAAAATGCGACGTGGTTCGTCAGCTACACACTTCCCTTCCCGTTTTATTGAACCTGCAGCTTGGCTTCAGAGACGATTAAGTGCTTCTAGCACAGAAGCTAATTTCCTTTACATGCCGAGAAGATTGTCTTCTGGAAGTAGAGACTCCAGCGAATCGTCACTTTTTATACCTCGCAGAATGAGCGCGTGCAGGTAAGATTGTAAATTTGGTCGAAAATAGAGACAAATTTAGATGAAAATTAAGTTTGTCATTTTCTGACGTGATAAACGATTAACCGGTTCGACTGATTTTGACAAGTTTCGGTTTTAACTGGATTTTTACTATTATTATAACCGGTCCAGATATCCGGTTAACCGGTCCGATTATACGGTTAACCGACCCGATTATCCGCTCGACCGGTCAGATTATCCGGTTAACCGGTCCGATTAAACCGAGCCAGTCGAAACGGACCGGTTAGACCGTATTCGGCGGTTTAGCCGTAACCGTGACCAGTAAAACCCTTCACTGGTTTCGTTACTGGTTTAACTGCAACCATCACCGGCTTAATCGTGGCAAAACACATCCATCAAATCCTTTGTTTTCAATAGAAATGGGGTCACTTTACTAACTATTTCACCTTTCCTTACCCGTGACAACCTGGCAGAGCATGCTTGATTTTTTAAAATAGGCTCTCACTAAATAAAAATTAAATTAGAATAATAGAAATACTACCAATTTTACTTTTGCTAAACTTTATTAAAAATTTAAAAAAGGACACTTCCCACTGGGTGGGTAAGTAGGTAAAGCTAAAAAACAAAAACATAAACTACAATCAAGTAAAAAAAAAAACATTCAAAAATAAATTATAATTAATTGGGACATAAAATAAGAAATAATAACGAATACCTAATAACAAAACTGCCTTTTTTTATTATTGAGTTTTGATGCAAAAAAATCAACTTATCAACGTTTTCCGGCAGCAAGCAGTTTCTTTTTGCCGAAACTATGTTTCCTGCACTGGTAAACACCCGTTCACTAGAAGTTGATGTGGCTAGTACACATAAATACGGTTATACGGTTATAAACCGGTTCTGGTTAAACCGGTTACGTTCTGTAACGGTTTTTTGGTCCTACGGAACCGGTTAACTGGTTAACCGGTCACGGTTACCAGCCTTAATAAAAATGTACCAATTAAGAGTTATATCAAATAACTGCCACATATTCACGTAGCATTTTTTAAAAGTTACCTACATGTAAATCCTTAATAGAAACGTCAACGTCAATTCAGAAAAAAGTAGAATTGGAAGATGGCGTGATTTAAAAATTAATTAGTAATTTTTTGGAAAATATGAAATCGATTAAACAATATGCAATGAATGTGAGTTTACCAAGATGAAAATAATCGTTGATGAAACTAAATTGTATGTATGTTATATTAAGGGTTTATGTAGATATAAAAAATTATAATTTTTGCTTAGGATTGTGGGACAAATCGTTTTTATAGCTTGGTTTTAAAACTATTTAATAAATTCATTTTATTTTGAAGAAAAACATGTTTTAATTTTATTCTATGAAAGTCATTAAATAAGAGATACTGATACTGTTTTATTTTAAGACACTCTTTAAATATATTTGGTTTTTAAAAGACCTACTTTTCGGCAGTTAACTTAAGGTTCGTTTGAATTAATTTAAACGAGGTATACCAACAGCTCATTTGAAAAGTACTGTTTGTTATTTTTACTATACATAACGTGTAACAAAAGTTTTGGCAAATTCTTTTAAATCTGTTAGGTGGAAATAGTCTGATATATTCTGTGGAAATTGCCATGGAACAACATGTAGCACATAACACAAGCAGTGTTGTCCCATGACAATTTACACATGAGGTTTTTTCGTTCGTCCCATTGGTGTAGGAATGAACTACATCAACGGACACTAAACCTTTCGTTTGGCCCGGTGTAAAACCCACTATACCTTCCTGTCGGCGATGTGGTGTCCACTGATGTATATTTTTTCCACCAGCTATTTAGCAGGAGTGAGTTACACTCGACATGTGTATAAGGAGTAAGTAAACTAAGGTAAATAAGGTGGTGTAACTGGTGTAATTTACACTGGTGGACACTGCACCAACAGCGAACGAAAGAACCTATAATACATAAGATGATTTCCATAATAGATTTAAAAGCATTTGCAATAAAAAGGTATTTTTTACCAAAACTTTTGTTACATACAATAATGATACGAAAGCTCAAAATGTTGTTCTTTTAAAACTGGATAATTTTATAATTATGTTAGGGTTATTCTGATTAATACCATAAAAGAGGTATTATAATGACCTTAATACGTTCTTAAGAACCATGAAATTAACAGAATTAATTTAAAAATAAGTTTTAAAAACATTTGTGGGATTTTCCCTTTATTCTTAAAATAAACTTATAGCAGCCCTTAGAATATTCTGAGGATTAAATTTTTTATCACAAGCCATATAACTAATTGATTCGCTAAAAACAGCACAGGAGCTGGGATCTACCATGTGAACTCAGGGAGGACAATTAGTTTGAACCTGGGGTCACTGACAACAGTCTTCCAGGCTGAAGTAACAGCAATAAATGCCTGCGTCATGCTAAATGACTCTCTTAGAGATAAGAGAATCGTTATCATGACAGTCAGGCAGCCCTTAAAGCACTAAAAAGGGTAGAAGTACAATCTAAATCAATATTTGATTGCCAACAGTCCCTCCAGGATCTGGAAGAAAATAACAAAGTCACTCTTGAATGGGTGCCAGGACATGAGGGAGTGTTTGGAAACGAGAAAGCAGACCTCCTAGCAAGAAAGGCAGCGGAAAAAACTCTTATTGGACCAGAACCCACATGTGGTATCTCATACCAACATGTTAAATGGGTGTTAAAGGAACAAATAAAAAGAGAACACCATAGGCTCCGGATGGAACTTCCTGGACTTATACAGTCCAAAAGATTCATAGAGGGGCCATCCACGAGCAGACAACATCAACTGCTAGCGAACTCAAGGCCGTAATAGGACTCCTTATGGGACACTGCGGCCTTAGAAGACACCTAAATCTCTTAGGGATATCTGATGACTCCCTATGTATAATATGTCAAGAGGAGGACGAAACTCCTATTCACATACTATGCCACTGCCGGAACCTTAAATGGGAACTGGAATGGTACTCCGGAACCTGAAGAAATCGCGAAAGCGCCCATCAGACATATTCTTGAATTCATCAAGAAAATCAATCTGATGGGATAGAAAGTGTGAGGGGTACAATAAGCCTAGAGCTTCAGTACAAGTGGGCTTTGAACCACGCCCTAATTCAGATGATGATGATGATGATGATGATGATGAATTGACTCGCTCCGTGCGAAATCATAGTAGGGAAAACAAAAGCGATACTAGCGCTAGCTGCGCATAATTCGTGAATTTTAGGGCGAGATTTTGTAATTTTGGCATATCAAATACACGAATACATTTTACTATTTTTTTTTTTTTTTAAGTAGGTAAAAACGATACAATAAGCAACCGGAGTTGCTGTGTTGAAAATTGTAAAAATACTAGCAAAAGAAAACAGTGTAAATTATAAAAATTTTCAGTAGCAAAGTGAAAATTAAATCAAAGAAATAAATGGATATGTGTATAATAAGAAGAAAAATATCCTTTATTTTTGTAATAATAACAGTAATACTGGAAATAGTAAACATCAGAAACTTAAAAATAACTAAACAAAACATAAACAAAGTAGAAATAACAATTGCCTTAGAAATGCAATATCCGTCATAATAATTTTATTTTTAATATTAAAGTCACATTTTTAGAATTTAATTAATGCTTTTGCATGTAGAACCGAAAAGTCTATGGCACGTTAAAACACTATTATAATACAGCAGGTATTAAGCTTAATTATTAAATATTATCTACTTTATAACGGGTCAACAACAAGCAACCAGACACTTTTTTAATACTAATTTTAATTAAATCCTTAAAAGTCGGGTTAAAAACATCACGAAATACAATGCAGTCATTACGCGAGAGCTACATGTGTAACAACAAAAACTACTTAATTTCAGTAAGATTGCACACTTTATCATAAAGAAAATTCACAAACTTTCGGCTCAATGATAATACACACTTTTAACAACTAATTAAAGAAAAAAACTGTTTTAATTTCACTTAAACTAAATGTATTTTGAAAAAAAATCGCTCGCGTTGCGCTTTTAAAGTACTAAAACATCGCCGCCTTGCCAGATTTATCTTTGCTGGGTTAGAAGTAGAATCTAAATCTAAAAATGTGATGCGCCTATAAATTACAATACCGTATTTTTCTGTTTGTTTCAGCATATCCAGTAACGACAGTTTCGTCAGGAGAATGTCATCGTCTTCAGAGTACAGCAATCCGAGATCGAGAAGTAACAGTTCGGCCTTCCAAAATAGCGAAAACGTGCTAAGGATGCCAAAAGGTCCAGACGGAAGCAGAGGATTTAGACAAAGGCTGCCAACTGTAGCTCAATAAAAAGATCGTAATTCAGATTTTGTACGAATGATGAAAAGAATGTAAGCTAGCGTAATGGAAGGTATAGTGTTTTAAAAAAGTTTCATTTGTGGGAAAATGTCTATAATATTGTTTATTTTTCACTATATCTTTAAGTATGAATGTAATCGAGTTAAGTTTTAAAATACAATTTTGATTTAAAAATTATTCATTGGTGCATATTATTTTTAACAAAAATAATTTGCTGGTAATAAAATGGAATTTTTTTTGGAAATGTGAACACTATAAATAGATAGTAATCCAAGGTTTTTTTAATACCTACTACTCGTATAAGTAGGTATAGGTATGTAGGTAGAATAAATCAAAATCATGAACGCCTTGATATTTGTAGGAAACGTTATATAGTCTCGTTCTTCTTCCTGTAAATGTGACCTTAAATTTTTAATTTCCGGTTCATGCTAACCTTCATTTGTATTCAAATGGTAAATGTGTTGTGTCAGGTTATGAACAATTGTTTTAAATACTACATACTATGATTTTATACCCATGAAATACAGTAGGTAGATAATTCTATACTTATCTCTTGAACAACAATTTTTTTTTTTATTATTTATCAACTGTCGATCAAGTCTTAGGATTTATTTTTTACAAAACGGGCATTATCATTGAACTGTTACCTCGAGGTCAGGATACCTTTAAAAATAAAATAGAGTAAAAAAACGTGATGATTCAACATAACGTATAATATATTTATAAAAGAAATAAAATTGACCTTCAGTCGGGACTGCGAATCTGAATCGAGTTGCCATTGACAAAAAAAAGCCTACTACGGTAATATATGGATAAAATACTTGAACGTTACCTTGAAATCGTATGTATAACGTTAATTTTATGTAATTTAAAATACCTAGGTATACGTATATGTTCAGTTTGGTTCTGCTTTATTATTATTGTGCTTTTAATTATTTTCATTGGGCCAGCGGTTTTAAATTTTGTTATTTGCAGGATATACTGAACTGTCGAAATTCTTCTTCTTTTTATTATTTGGTTTACTCCAGTGGGGTTATTTTGGCAAAATGAGAATCACTGACATAAAGATAGTCACTCCTTTGTTCATTTTGGAATGAACTAATTATAAAAAAATAATTTTCTAATGCAATCAGCATTTGGCACATTACTATTATAAGTACGCCTGTTTGCAAAATGTTTATTAGAGTCCTTTGTAACTAGTTTTCCTTCCCAAATGACAAAAATTGACAATGGCAGGGTTAGTATAATAATATATACCTAAAAGAAATCAAAACTATCATCTTCTGTGAGCGATAATATAATGGATAAAATAAGTGTTTTTTAAAAGCCGTTTACCAAATTTACTTTGGCAAAAATGTTTCTTTGCTGCATTGACTATTTTACGTATATCGAAATATAAATTTTCTTTTTCCAAATGCTCATTAACGGTATTTTGCAGTATTAGATAATTATTTGTTCCACAGAAAGAATTAAATACAAGATGAACCAGAATCCCAAGTAAAAATTTGAAAAATCTAAAAATAGTGCCTCTTAATAATATTAAATTTATTATTTATCCTTTTTCTAATTGAATACTGTACCAAAAATAGTAACAGATATAATCATTTATATTTTTTTAATAAATTTAAAGCAAAAAATTGCAGCTTTAAACATTAAAATCGTCCCAAAATCAAGTCAAACTAAACGGTTTTGCATAACACCGTTTGAGGTACGCCACTGAGCAAAACGTGAATGCATTCAGACTACGCGGTCTCGGCCTACTTTTCTAATGCTACTTTCTCCCAAACTCCGCTTACTACTCGACTTCTTCCATATCAATATTACAAAAAAAAAGTAAATTTCTCCGTTAGAACGTCGAAAGAGATATTTGAATCGACAATGTTACGCTTTTTAATTCACAATATCAAATAAAACATAAAAATCTCTAAATTATATCATGTAACGGTAACGGTAATTCGGTAGGTACTACTTTTATTCATTTGTAATGGTCGTGCACATTTGAAATTGACAGGAAATTGGTCGAGTATCAAATAGTGGTCTTAAACCGATTTAAAGATAAGGAGGACCCATGTAAGTCCACCCTAAATTCATTTAATTATCAATCAGTCCGAATTTTTGAGGTTAGTGTTATTCCCTTTAAATAATGAAACATCGCACAGCATAGGTTCTTTCGTTCGCTGTTGCTGCAATGTCCACCAGTGTAAATTACACCAGTTACACCACCTTTATTTACCTACTTTACTTTCTCCTTATACCTTATACACATGTCGAGTGTAATTCAATCATGCTAAATAGCTGGTGGAGAAAATATCCACCAGTGGACACCACATCGCCGACAGGATTTTACACCGTGCCAAACAAAAGGCATGGTGTGTGTTGGCGTAGTTCATTCCTACATTAGTGGGACGAAAAAAAGAAAAAGAACCTCATATTACGCAAATTTAACGCATGTGCTGAAACCTTTGTAAGAGAAACAAAACTTTTTAAAGGGAGCACAACAAATTCAACGTTTTGTATTGTTCCGTATCATTTTGGAGCGTTTAATTTTTACGCTCCTTTCTGCTGCGATCGCGAAATTTGAGCGGGAAAGCTCATAAAAACAACCAAAAACAACCTAAAACTCCTAAAATCTATCGCTATTTGCGATTGCTTGAAAAATATATCTTTAACAACCTGGTTGTGCTTTACATAGTGATAAAAATTACAAAAAGAAATACCTAAATATAAAAATTATTGTAGAATGTGAGTCAAAACTGCAAGTGACAAATAAACAAGTTCACTTTCGATTGCAAATGCTACGTTTCATTAAACTAGAATTGTCGTTCGACACAAATTTAATTTATTAAAATTGAACGTATGGAGTGTACCGGTCAGCAATCTGATCCTGCTACCCTAATCGAAGCAAGAATTCGATAGACTCATTGAACACAGGGGTGCGTTCCGAAATGTAGTGTAAATGCGTCCGGACGTTGTCTAAATTTTAAAAAGTGTTCCTAAATATGGAACGTTTTATCTGGAAAAATTACCCCAGCCGTTCCTATTTAAAAGAAAAACGCGTCGGGATGAAGAAATTTTACCCACCGTGTTGAGCAGGGCAATTTTTACTCGACTTGCGCAGATCATAACCCTAATTAACCTAAAAGAACCACCTAGTATTTAATTTCCTATTTTTAGTTTTTGAGTACAAAATATTTAAATATGAGTATGAGTAAGAGAATTAATTCCATCAATTATCGTCTAGTTGTCGGAAACGATGGTAATTTCATTATAGAAAATGATAAAATTTTATGACAGGATTAAAGGTAATGAATTGAATTTTTACATAAAAAAATCTATGTGGACATCAATGATGTTACCTATTTACCAATATTTGATAATTCCTACAATCTCAGATAACAGAAAACACATAATCTAAAACTTGATTTGACAATACTTTGCACATACTTTGCACTTACCGTTCGTATTTATCAGGGAAAAATAAACTTTTGTCCGGACGTTTGAAAATTTGACGCTCTCGATTTCTGAACGCACCACAGCTATTGACATTGCATAGATTTGACATTTTTAATCGACAAATTTTTATACAATCTGACACATCGGTAACTTTTGTAGTAAGTACTCAATTTGAATGTAGGTACGAGTATTTTATCAAAAGCATAAATTGAAACGTTATTTATTCCTTAATTATTAACCACATACCTAATAAAAACAATATCAGTTAATCAAAAGAAAAATCTTGTAAATAACTGTTATGAATCTTAAATAAATAACATTCTGATTTTGATTAACCTTAAAAGTTTTAATTACCTTATTTTAAACATTTTTTATTTATATCTACGATATTTGTTAAATTTAATATGCACAAACAGAATCCAACTTTCATTCAATTAAATTAATGTAAACTTTCTTTAATAATTAATTCAACATTTGTATTTTCTACTTTTTGTGTTCATTTTGTTTTAAAAATGAATCAGTTTCATCTACCTGTATGTATAAAACGTTTTTATGATGGTAGACTAATTATTTTTATTATTTTAAATATGTATATAGTTTAATTTATTATTGCATTTAGTTTCTAAGATTGTAGTTTATAAGTATTTTTAAAATTGAAATTATTGTGCTGTTTTGTGGATTTTTATTTTTGGACTACGTCAAATATGTATTGAAGAATATTTTATTTGTGTCTATTTTCGAGAAAAATGTTTGCAATAAAAATATTTTGTTAAAATTCTGTTTTTATTTTTTAAGTTTCCCAATTAGCTCCTACAAATTTCATCAAAAAAAAGGTCTCAAATGGCCGATTCCACCATTGTGTTAAACGAAGTTTAAATTACTAAGCGAAGTTTAAATTTACATATTTACATAAACAATGTCATTTTAATCTACGCTTAGAACATATATAGTCAGGAAGGAGCATGCCATGTCCGCGTTAATCTAATCGATCTGACGGAAGTGGTAGCCATGTTGTACTATGGATGACTCATCATCATATGATAAATGGTTTCTAAAATTGGTTTATAATTTTAGTGATTAAAATTTGTTAATAATTTGGATGTTTTATGTGTTAATTTAAACTTGTATCAAGCGTATGTTTTGTAGACATTTTTAAAAAGTGTTAGTGTTTTAGTATTTATTTAGTATTACTGTTAATTCTAAATTTTCCGCGTTAAAAGACAAACAAGACAATATGGTCAGTTGTTCGTCTTGTGGATATAGCAGCACAGCTAAAAATAGAAAGGAATATTCTACATTTCATAAGCAAGTATTTTGTTCTCTCAATTTTCAACAACAACAAAGATTTATTAAATTTTTTATTTTTTAAATTTGTAAACAAATCATAGGCGTAGTCTCATGGTTTATAGGGTATACGTACTTTTATTTTATTTTAAGATGTTTATGTGGTTGTTAAAATGAATAAATTATTCTTCAATTTAGATTTATAAACAGATTGTAAGTAAACAATTTTCAGATTTCTTAAAGATTCTAGATTTACAAATTATATAAATTAATCCCAGGTAGACAATTTTCAGATGTCCTAAAGATTCTCAAAAAACAAAGTTATGGCTTGAGTTCATGCAACAAACAAATTGTGAGCCAAAATATCTTAATTTTTTGTTTTCATGCCATTTTAAAGAAGATTATTTTGATTGAACCTCTACCAACAACTGTTCCAACAATAAAGTGGCCCGGTTAAAGTATATAAGTAAATAAATTATTTACTAACTATATATCATGTGCCGTTTTTTCGTATAATAGAAGTTTATTGTATATATTATATAATTTATTACAAAGTTACTTCAAAAACGAACACAAATATAATTAATAATCTCAAGTAAGAAAATAAGTAGCATATCGCATGTCTCAAGATACTGTCTTAGGTCCTATCTTGTTTAATTTTATTTTAAATAATTTGTCGTTTAAATACAGATGGAAATATTGTAAGTTTTTCAGATGACACTGTTATTCTGAAAATGCATAGACACAGATCTTATAAAAATTTTCGGATGGTTTAATTATAAAAACTTATGTTGTTCCATTATACAGTTACAAAAAGATGACCTCTTCCAAAACATTAAGAACAGTGTCAGCATATCATTCCTAGGGCTAATAAAGCACTTTCTAGAGATGATGCTTTATGCAAGCTACTCGAATATATTTTCAAATTTTTTGAGGCTCTTTTTACTGATGGTACTGTTAGTAAAATAAAAAGGGGAAGACCAAAATTAATTAATAAGACAATACCGTACATTCCCGAATCTCCCTTTATGCTTGTAGTAAAACAATAAAAAATGTGTTAACTGTGTTTTATTTTTCTCTTAAAACTTTATTTAGTATTTAGGCCTAATTCAAAAAAAAATTGCCACAAAATTATACTTACCAAATTTTACCATTTATCAAACCTTTTCAAATTTTGTAATAATAATTTATAATAATTTATTTATTCACAAATAAATAGTATGCAATTTACATTATTACAAAATACAAAATTCAAAAAAGTGAATAAATAACAATGACCCTACGAAACACGAAAGTGTTTGTAGGTATATATACAAAAAATTAATTTAGAATATAAACAAGATATACATATAAATTCCACAGTAGATATAAATATAAAAAATACAAAAATATATAAATATAAATGCGACTAGTAACGCTATTTTAAAACATGTTTAAAACATGCCTACCTAATTTGCATTTTATATAGATAAAATTAAATAATTCATTAAGTAAAACATTCTAAACTTCACTCGAAGTGCGTCCATCTGTCATATCGCAAAATAGTGTTCATGTCGTCTCTACTTCTTTCTATCTCTATGGTTGGCATATACCTAAATAATAAAGTAACTCTGAATTATAAAAAAAGAAATTACCTCCTACGTTAGCCAATTACCTTATCTAACTTCTTTAAATATTGATATTGGCCTAAAAAATTAAATTCCAGAAGTATCCATCATCTGTAAAATATCTTTGAGTTGGTATATAAGATGAGATTTACACAAAAAAAGGATCAAAAGTTGGAACATTACTACTACCAGAGTATAACTGTTCAAAATGTTCTCCGTTATTTTTTGAACAAGAAAATAGTCGCATATGAACTTTCGCGTATTTTATGAGAGGATCACACCCAATATCCTCAAAAAGTAAATGTTTGGGATGATATTCTAGGAGATAACATGTGCTATAACTCTTCAAAAAATAAAAATGTTTTATTACAAATATTTTTTGTACCCAATATACAAAGACCTTTAAATTGAGACATCGCATGATAGAGGTTGCAAATTAAGTTAGCTATCCTGCTGTCACTACTCAACTGTTTCCACCTACAATCTGCAGAAACGGTTTTTGTGTTTTCTAAAATAAAATTCAATCTTCGGAGCTATGGCGATACGAAAGTAAAGGTAAGAAATGAATTTTAATATCAAACAGAACAACTTTTAGTGATCTATAATATAATAAAATCATAATTTGGACCTTAAACCGATTGTGATTTTTTACCAAAATTGGCAAACATTTTTTCCATTAGTGACGTCTTCTGGTTATATTAGACTATTTTGGTTACTTGGTTTTATTTTATTAGTAATTAAATAACAATTAGTATTTAGCTGCGCAGTAGATAATTTAGACCGCCAAATTCATACTGCGCACAATCCAAGTGTCAATGACTGATTTCTGATCCTTATTGGAAGAGACCTATTATTATCATGAAAAAAAATTATTGCACCTAATTTCTCAACTTACATAGTGAAAACCAACATTTCAAACACGCTTTTTAAGATGTTTTCAGAAAAAGCAGAGTTCATTATAAGATGATAGTTCTATTTCCGCATTGGCTAGCGACAAAACTGACTAAAAAACCTAAAAACCATGACTAAAAAATTGTTAAAATTCCTCGAGTGTAAATTATAACATGTAGATGTAAATCACGACACGTTAGGACATAGCCGCTACCTACCTACATTATAATAAGAAATACTTAATAAAAAAAAAAGAAAACAATGGTTGTGGCTAAACATTTCTCTTTACTATACGCGCCAACGGTTTTGCAATGTCAAGCGCACCACGATTCGTTGAACTTTGATGAACGGAGTCTAGAATGAAAGTCAAGAATGAAGAATATTATCGATACACGCCAATGAACCTGCCAGCGTGCGTAAATTACAGTGGCTCGCTAATAAAATTTGCTAAATTATTAGCAAGGCATGTTTTTTATATCAATTTTGAAATAGGTTTGTCCACAGATGACCTTATTAGATAGTTTGCAAGTACAACCTAATCTTAGACTAATAAGAATTTTAAAATATTACAATAATTACTTGAGTCTGGATCCTAGTTTTTAACATGTTTGCGTACTTAACTCATGTGCGGCTACACTGCACTGTGCTCTGCTTTTCTCTAATTACTGCACTGTTACGCAAGGTCAGAAGGTTTGTTTCTCTTGAGCCGTCTCACTAAGCCTTGATTGTCTAATATTTGAAGCATTGCAACGTTTGGAGGTTTGTAGAGCTTCACCGAATGACTCCCAGCAATCTTCTTAATGTCTTATTCGACTGCCTTCACCTGTAGTTCCCGATGAAGATTTTCATTTCGAACATACTAAAGACTATTGACGATATTTCCTACAACTTGACTGATTCTCTTGAACCATCTCACTAAGCCTTGATTGTCTAATATATGAAGCATTTCAACGTTTGGAGGTTTGTGGATCTTCTCCTAATGACAACCAGCAATCTTTTTATTGTCTTCTTTGACTGCCTTCACCTGTAGTTTTCGATGAAGATCTTCATTTCGAACATACTAAAGACCATTGACGATATTTCCTACCACTTGACTGATTCTCTTGAGCCGTCTCACTAAGCCTTGATTGTCTAATATTTGAAGCATTTCAACGTTTGGAGGTTTGTAGAGCTTCTCCGAATGACTCCCAGCAATCTTCTTAATGTCTTCTTTGACTGCCTTCGCCTGTAGTTCCCGATGAAGATCTTCATTTCGAACATATTAAAGACCATTGACGATATTTCCTACCACTTGACTGATTCTCTTGAGCCGTCCCACTAAGCCTTGATTGTCTAATATTTGAAGCATTTCAACGTTTGGAGGTTTATAGAGCTTCTCTGAATGACTCCCAGCAATCTTCTTAATGTCTTCTTTGACTGCCTTCACCTGTAGTTCCCGATAAAGATCTTCATATCGAACATACTAAAGACCATTAACGATTTTTTCTACCACTTGACTCATTCTCTTGAGCCGTCTCACTAAGCCTTGATTGTCTAATATATGAAGCATTTCAACGTTTGGAGGTTTGTGGAGCATCTCCTAATGATTCTCAGCAATCTTCTTAATGTCTTCTTTAACTGCCTTCACCTGTAGTTCCCGATGAAGATCTTCATTTTGAACATACCAAAGACCATTGACGATATTCCCT